ATGTGGTGCAGCGCCCGCGGAACCCGGGGCCCGACGACGTAAATCAGCGCCAGCGACCAAAAAAAAAGGGGGTGCTTTGTTCGTTGCGTCGAACCCCGATGGAGTCGCCGCCTTTCCACTGGGCCATCCAATGTCCCGCGATTGTGAGCGCGTCTAGCGTGAAGTAAGCTGCATTTTGGTCTTAGTCGAAGTATGTCGGGCAGGGAACCATCCTTTCGGCACCCGTTGCGAACTCCCCACAAACTCAAGTTTCCCCTATGTAAAGGCCAGTATCCAGCCTGAGCTATTTTCACCCAGGCCTTAAGGTGCGCATGGTGCGGTCGCATGGTGATCTTCCAGTATGCAAACAGGCTGCCTCTCTGAACACAACGTAGGGCATAGTTGCTGCCGTGAGAAGCTGACTTTCGATATCGGTCATATCTATCAGGTGAGGTGCCGGTGCTTCAAGGGATACGGCCCCCTTGCTACCCACTCGGCTTTTGGGCCACATCAGAAAGGGGTGCAAAAGGGCCCCCTGCGTGTTCATGCGAGCAGCGGGATCAAATACAAGCAACCCATGGAGGAGATCTAGCTACAATGGGGAAGGTCTAACACCTTATCACATGGGAACAAACGTACCGCAGTCTCTTGCAGAGAGCAGTGCTTCGAGATGCGCCTTCTAAGTGTCTCCTGATGCTTCTGCGTGGGTAGAGACTCTATAAAGTCACGTGCGTGTTTGTCCAAGATAAACCAAAGTTCTGCTTGTGTTGGCCGTCCCAGAAGACTCACAATGTGTGCCAACATCTCGCGTCGTTCAGTTCCCTCAAACAAGACCCCCATATTAGGCGCCAACATCTCGGCCAGAATACACCCGACTGACCACACATCGATTCCTGGTCCATAATGCACATTTCCAAGCAAAATTTCAGGTGCCCGATACCATCGAGTGACCACGTACTCAGTCATGCTTGCTTGCGAATCCACGCGCTCAACTTCAAAGTCTCTGTCCCTGAAATTCTCTTGCGAAGAATGATTTTGCTTGGGTATTGCTCGTGCGAGACCAAAATCACAGATTCGCAACTGACAGCTACGCAAGTCCACAAGCAAGTTTGCTGGCTTCAAGTCGCGGTGAAGTACGCCCGCAGATCCGATGTACTGCACGCCACAGATCAATTGATAAAGCAAATATTGTGTTTGTTCTGCTTTAAGGACAAATGAAGATCCGGGCCGGTGAGCTGCCGATAATACGTGTTGCAAATCTGTTGACATGAGCTCCGTAACCAAATACAACTCAGATAGTAGCGGCAGCGCAGTGCCCCGGGGAGAATCAGCTGTGCTCGCCGATGCATCATCGTGAGTAGACGGCGGTAACATGACATCGAGTAGTGTGATCACATTTGGATGATTCAAACAACGCATCAGTCTCACTTCTCGGAGAATCCTTCGAGCTTCGTAGGCGGGCTTCCTATGAAACACCCCATCGACCTTTTTGATTGCAACAGGGTAAGAACCCTGAACAGAGTCCGTTGCTGAAGCCACAATTCCAAAACTTCCACTACCAATCCGCTTCTTCAATTCATAACGCCTTCGGATGCACCAACTGATTCCAGCAAATTTAAGCTTGATAAAATTGTCAGACTTACTGCGGACGTTCATGGCTATTGACTCAACTAGATCGCAGACCCCCCTGTCAGCTGTACCAGGCGTTACATATTCAGCATGAAGCTTGGAGGTTACAGTCGAAGCACTCCTATCGAGGCTATTGCACTAGCATGCCGCTACTAGGGTTGAGACTGCAAATAACACGCTCGGCGGCCCGGTGAAAGAGCAAGACCCATGTTTCGGTTGTCGGCGTTCCGCATCAAAGTCGGCGTCTTCCCGGCCATTTTTTTTTGGGGGGGGTTCTCACAACATTATATCTTGAATCATGCCTCATCACGACTAATCCGACCGGCACACGGGTGATGTCGAAGAAAAAGGACATTGCCGTCGAAATTTTTGCGGTCCGTCAATCCTTTTTCAACTCTGATCTTGAATCATGCGCATAGGCAGGAGATGGAGTCAACTATCCCCGCAAAGGTCAAACCGTTACCGTTCACTACAGCGGCTACGTGAGCCCAGCGTGCACACGAGCCTCGGGGTTATGTCCAATGCATCTCCCGTAGCTCCCGAGCGGCGACATGTTTGACTCTTCGAGAGATAGAGGTAAGCCATTTAAATTCAAACTTGGTGGCGAGCAAGTCATCCCGGGCCTCGATGCTGGTGTCTCCCAGCTTAGTATCGGTGAACGAGCTAAGATTGTGATCCCACCAGACATGGCCTATGGTATGCGAGTGATACGCCATCAAACACCACACATTTTTTCTAGGCGATCGCGGGTTTCCAGGCCTGATCCCAAGGAATTCTGCCCTGATCTTTGACTTGGAACTCATAACCTTCAACTGATGGACATTGTGCCTTCGCGAGTCGATTGTTGATATCGGTCGATTGTTGATCGGCCGTGACATTGGTTTGCTGCAGCACGACCTCGGATTCCGACTTTGACGCCCCAAGTCCCAAGACTTGGTGCCGCACTCGGTGTGGACCTCTTGCTGCACCTATGGCCCGCCGCTTTACTTGACGAAGGGCTGCTGTTGCTAGACTACCCCAACGCCAACCTGCCCTGGCTGCCCTAATCAGGGCACCCTCAAGGTACAGCCACCTTTCAAGTCAAACTACGGGACCGGAAAGCGGGGTAGACTGCGCCACTGTGCAGTGGATGGTGATTATTAGCGAGATAGTCGCTACTAGTAGTAGTAAACTCCGGGACAGGGAGGCAGCCGAGCGGGGCTGCCCTGCCGTCCGAGGGTGAACTATCGAGGTTGCGCAGTGCAGTCGGGGCTCGGCTCGACAACGGCAAAATCGGTGTAGAAGCATGATCACTTCACTGCTCCCGCGGCGCACGCCGGCATGAGCTAGCTATTATACACCACAGGCGACAAAAATGCAGCAAGGGCCTCCCACCTGGGGACGTAATGGACGCATTTGAACTGCAGCTCAAGACCCACCAGAGACACCTGTATTGAAGCGCTTTATCACTTTTAGCGCCGCCAAAACAAAGGTGCTCATGAAAACATGCGGAAATTGCTCACATGTGTCTAAGATTTGCCAATGGATGACGAATGAACCACTATTTGTATGTCAGAATTGTGCAGTGACTTTGTCGATATGCTGTGCTTAGTGATAGTGATATTTGTGCCAGCCTGTGAATCTGTCTAGGTGCTTGCGCTGCTTGTTGTCGAACAAAAGCATATGCGATCAGCAAACGAAGCATCATTACAAGATCCGTTCTGCGCAACTGCCTCTGGTAGCGGATACTTGGACCGCTGTGGACGATCTCAAGCTTTTGGATGAAGTAGGCTTAGTGCTTCAGGTCCCACTTAATCTTCCATGCGCAGGTTGAGAGATTTGGACTCGGAAACTGGGGTGCTGCTGCCAAAAGGTTAGGCAAGATGCATAGTGGCAGCGACAGTCAGCAACACTATCTTCAACGATACTGTGTGTGTTTCGAAAGGCACATTCCGAAGCAAGTGCTCGGCATCGATGGTACATGGTTATCAGCTGCAGTAGATTTACAACTAGGAGATCATATCAACCTGCCAACCTTAATGTCTCGAGAGAGTACGGTACCAAGCACTAAGCTTGATGGATACATGCCTCTACGCATCGACTTTGACGTAGAACATAATAATAATGCTGAGCTGATGGTTGCCGACATGGAGTTTGGGTCTAGCGAAAATGTAGTAGATCGCACGCTCAAGCACAACATCTTACAGATTTATGATGACAGACTAAAGCAGCGTGAACAGCGGAGGAATTATGCTGCTGACCACAGTTTAGTTGATGTCGTACGTGACGACCACGAACTGTTTCGAATAAACAAGAAACAGCGCGTTGATGATGCATTGCGCTGCAAGACGGTGATAAGAGACTCGAGGCGTTTTAGCGATCTTCGAGATCTCCTCATTTGGTCGGAGGGACTCAGCCACGCTCGCTGCCTTCGGGACCTTCTTGGTGTGTTCGCCTAGCCACGCGCCTAGTAGCCCCGCTTATTCGAACCACCGTGTAGATGCGTCGTGTGAAGGGTAATGCTATCAACTAGCACGGTACTGGGTAAATATCCCTGGCTAGCGCCCCTGGCTGGGCCTCTACTAATGTCGACCCTAACCCTGCTATTTAGATGCTATTTATTCCTGGTTTGCCCTGGCACAACTTTTGGCACCTGCCGTTGCGGCTGTGCGTTGCACGCGCGGGCTGTTGCGGGCACGCCCCGGTCCGTGGTGCTTGTGCGATACTTTCTGCTGCATTTCGTGTTGATTGGTGGTAATTTCGCGCGAGGGTAAACTTCCTCTATAGCCACTATGATGGGAGCAGAACAAAAAAGAAGTACCTGAAGAGCTCATCCAGGAAGGTTGGCTCGATATTGCCCCTCCTGAGTCGACTCGGAGTAGCAAGGCACCTGTCACCACGGCAGTGGCCTAGGCGCCGGCTGATTCCCTGACATTTATCGACCCCCCCCCAAAAAAGAATCAAGGTTTTCCTGGGTGCGCTCCAGGCGCACAATAATGGAAGAGGATGTCAGCGATAGCCGACGACTCGTACTCGAGTGCGAGGTATATCTTCTGTCTCTCTCCTCTGTATCCTGAATATCCTGGCTGATACTGGCGGCTATATCACCTGCACATATAGCTCGTTTAGCATATCCTCTCGTTCCACAACCACCCGACCAAGATGGCGTTCCAGGCAGAAAAATGCTCCAGCAATGGAGCGCTGCGCTTTGGTAAACGGGTTAATTTTGAAACAGCACATCACAGACTTGACCTCACACACATTGACGGCCCTGACGGCTTCGCACCGATGGAACGAGCGGCACAGGGCGTATGCACCACTCGTTTCAAGAAGGGCTTCAACCGCCGTAATCAATCGGTCATCTGCCCCCACGTAGAACGCAAGGCCGCTGAGAAGCTCAAGGCGCATGAGGCTGCTGAACACTTTGTCAAACGACGGGAATATCTGCTCGATAAGGGACATTACAATGGCTTCAATGTAATCTCTGGACAGTACGACCCACAAAAGATCCGAGGACGACGGCTCCAGGCACGCTACCTCAGTGATCGCCCATCAACAGAGCTCGTCAAATCTGGCGAGATAACCATTCGAAACTCGCATTACCGATTCTACACACCACTCCCTTCGGGAAACGAGCACGACCGCCGCCAACAACAACTTGTCACGGAGGGCCTCCTCAAACCAAAATGTTCTTCAGTTCTTGGCATTGGCCGTGCCGATGTTCAATCCTACGGCGTCGAGGATCAATTTTCTCACTCCCAGTACCAGCAGAATCCAATTGGCGGTCGAGAAGGCCTTGTTGAGTGGACGGAACCAGGGCGCTTTACTCCCAGGAAAACAGGCGTTGCAAAGAATAGACCCTTTCTTTTTGCGGGCACATGGCGTGAAGACGCGAGTTAGAGCGACGCCCTGCAACGCATCTTACCGAACATCAGTCTGTATGATATAAGTCACGGCAACAATTACGGGCAACAATTACGGGAAGTCTATACCTTGGGGGATCACAGTGGCAATTGCCAGTTCTGACCCCACCACGTCGAAGGGAGTGGAGTGCTCGACCCAGGTAGAGACTGTGCACACTTTAGTGGAGTTCACCTCGCCAGTTGGGCTTGTGCCATCCTCCGCCTGGTAGTAGAGAGAGATAGAGAGATATGTACCTTCCTAGTGGCTCGCTGGTACAGAGCCACTCAGATCCTCCCTTTCCCCTTAATACTTTCTAACCCTGCTATAGTTGTGTCCCGCACTGTAATAGACGGAGAGTCTTCCTGTGCCACAGTGGCGGGATTTCCGCCTTCAATATCTACCTTTAGCTTAGTTTGAAGCTGACATTGCAGTGCATGTATCCGCCCTATTTATCTCATTATATCTTTACCCTACAGATACGCGTCGCCGTATCTTTTCTCTCTTGCTTATCTCACATCTAGCGAGGGCTGCCTTGGTGTTATCCAGGCTGAGAGTCCGCGCTAGTGCCCCTAGAATACCCCGGGTCGGGGAGATCAGAGGTAATATCTACTTAGTTCTGTAGTTGAAGGGCCTTACAATCCTTTGGAATTTGGTCCCAGCTACCGGAACTGGCTTCATCAGCGGAATGGTAGTAGAGTAGCGTACTAAGGCGCACCGCGCCGCCGGCTGCGGCCCGGGCCCGGCCGGCGGCAGAAACCTCACCCATAACGG